AAGGCAGTCCGGAGAACACTTCCGATAATACATCTGTAACGTAAAAAAAATCTCCAACATTTAGACCTAGTCTTAAAATAATGAATCCATAGCAAAAATCAATGGGTCTCTAATTGTGAGTGAATAATCCAAGAGCATAAATTAAAGTTTAAAAAAAGCGCTTTTCTAGTTTGGTGAAAATTATATAAAAGGAAAAGAAACATTTGCTAATTGCATTCAAAATATATTCTACGCCAATTGAAATTATACATTTTCCATCTCCGTCCTCCAATGTAATATCAAATATAAAACAAAACGAAAGAGAAGTCTTGACGAAAAATTCAATATAGCTTCACCTGCCCCCCCCCCCTTTCCACCTGTCTGTCTGTCTGTCTGTCTGTCTGTCTGTCTGTCTATCTGTCCGTCTGCACAATACACACACATAAAAACACACGTGAGCACATTACACATCACACACACACACACACACACACACACACACACACACACACACACACACAAACACACACACACATACACACACACACATACACAAACACACGAACGCACACATACATACACACACAAACGCAAACACACACAAACACACACACGCACATCAATCAACTTCCGCCTTCGAGTTGGGTCCAACCCTGTAAGCTCCCTTGCCGGCTCCCCGATAATGACTCTACCGTGAAAAATAAACCGTTCGTCTGAAAGAATGTAATTCATATCATTCTTTCCTTGCTCCAGACCCCCTCAAGGCAGATTCTCCATAGAAACCCAATATAATCAATTCGCATAATACAAGTATTAGGACAGCATTAGGGACATCCTGATTTCGAATCCCATTAGGTGCTCAAAACAGCCCTTATAGCCCCCCCCCCCCACACACACATTTGTATCTCCCATCTCCTGCCCGGTATTAGCGAAAAGGATCTATCTTGGGTAAACAGGAAATGGGTGGTGGGGATGGGATGATAAGCTACATCAAAGCTGCATTATTTGACATATATAACGACCGAATAATGGATGTCCTTGAAAGCATACCGCCCTACTTGACACAAGGGGCACTAAGCACCTCATCAGTAACACAGGGCCCTAATAGAATTATCTTAAGGGAGGCAAGAAAAATCAATTCTCTTGGGATTCGAACCACGATCTTCTGCTACGCAGATCAAGTTTGAAACTACAATATTTAAAAATTATATTAAAACAACAACAACAACCAAATGACTGAGCGAGATGAAAGGAAGTGCATTGCGTGACTAGCCAGAACTATCCTTAACAACACAGAGAAAATGACGGTGAAATAGGACAATGACTGACAATACACAGGAAATATAGAGTGACTGTGATACAGAAGGGAAGATCAGATACATACATGAATATAAATCATAGACACGTAAAGGGATCAAGAGAAAATTATGTTGGGTGGTGTAAAACTTTAACGGCATTCCCCTCTCGACGCAATTTACATTTAGGAGGTGGGCTGCTTCGACCTGGCCTGTGAGGGGTAACTCTGGCAGTGCGGGATACGTCTTATCAATCAGAAAGACAGAAATACTGGACAGTATGTTTAACGCACATGGATTCACATCTGCAAAGCAAACAACCCAGTCACTAGAACCAGACCATAGACTACCTGATCTTGTACTTTTCCGGACTCTGTTACCTTGCGTTGTCCGGGAGTCCAGGAGTCCGGGAGGGTGGGGGTGGAGGAAAGGGGAAGCAAACGTCTTTCTTGTTTGTTGTATCATCTGCAGCATGGTTATGTTGTTCTTGACCAATGTCTCTTTCTCTACCCCCCCCCCCCTACCCAGTCCATCTTTTCCCAAGCTTGCCTCTTCCCCTGTTTCCTCTGTGGCGTCGGTGGCCTTGGGGTTAGGCTATTGGACTCGTAATTGTGAGGTTGCGGGTTCGGGGGTTCGAGCCGCGGGCCCGACGTTGTGTCCTTGGGAAAGGCACTTTACGCGAATTTTCCCCACTTCACCAAGGTAGGAATGGATACCCGGCGAAAGATCTTGTCAGTATGTTAGTGTTTAAGCGCCTATAAATGGCTGCTTGCACCGTATGCTTCCCAGGAAGTTAAGGTTATTTCAGAATGGTCTCCGGTCTGCTGGGGTAATAGTATAGATTGTGACGCCCATAGATCTTGCTGTTGAGCGGGGATTTGCGCTATACATGCTATCTAGATCTATTATTATTATTATTATTATTATTATTATTATTATTATTAATATTATTATTATTATTATTATTATTATTAATATTATTATTATTATTATTAATATTATTATTATTATTATTATTATTAATATTATTATTATTATTATT